AATTCAGACATTGATATTTAAAATCCATTGAAAATGAATGTAAGTAAAAACATAAGATCTATGCAATGGAGAATTTCAGAAAGCAGTTGTGTCTGGCTTATGGGATGAGGGAAAACAAGAAGCACTGGTCAGTTCAGACACAGCGATGCCCAGGCCTAGAATATCACCTATTTGCTTTGTTTTGATTTTCATTTCTGTTGGAGAATGGGTGTTTCCAAATTGCTCAGCAAGCCCCACAAACCAATAAGGAATAAAGCTCTTCTCTGGCAGACACGTCTTTGAATCTTATTGGGGGTGTTTTCCTTCTTATATTTGTCTGATTTTGAAAGCAACCCCAAGGGCTGCCTACAAAGCATGTATCCAGATGATTCCTGATAAAAGCAGGCCCTAAAGTCTATTTCAGTCAAGACTCATAGGCAGGCTTGGTCCAGAACCAGCTCAGACACCAGAGCCTACATCATGGGCCCCAATGACTTAGACGACAATTCACTGTCACAAGGAACTCACAAGACCATTCCTCAGGGCCAATTTACAACCATCAAGATACAACTGGACCCCAAGTGCAGAATGCTGTTATCAATGCCCCACCCCCCGAAGTCCACGTTAGTCCGCAGCTTGCACTATTGGGAGGTGCTGAATATTTAAGAGGAAGGGTCTAGTGGGATGTTTTAGGTCATGGGGGCCATGTTCTCAAAGGGGACTATGGGTCCAGTCTCTTCCTCTTCCTGTTCTCCCTTCCAGTCCTGCCTATAGGATGCACAGCTTTGCTCTTCCACACATTCCTGCCATGACGTGCTGACTCCCCTCCACAGATTGTGAGCTAAAACAAACCTTTTCTCTTCATAATTCTCTCAGGTACTTGTTACTTAATGGGAAGCAGGCTAACACAAATGCAGTCCACACCCCTCAGATAGGCTGCTGATCATTCCAGAAAGTAAGTGCTCCACAAATAAAACCCTTAGCCCCGATTCCCTCAACCCCCTTCTTTCTTCTCCTTCTCCTCAGTCTGGAATTCCATTTCCTCTTTCCTCTTCCCTCAACAGATGCTCAGCTGGTTGCACTCAGCCTTCGGTTTTTCTCCTTTCAACATGACACATGCTGCTTTGGGAATAACATCTGAAAAGGCAGCACAGTAAGTTCTGTGCTAAGACACCACTTGACAATCATTCTGGCTCTCCAGAAATGCATTAATTCTAGGAATGTATATTTGTTTTGTAATCCAGAAAATTCAGCTTTTTTCTGTAAGGAAGATGAGAGCACAGCTCAAGAGCTGGACCATCCCAAGGACTTCTCATCCAGGAAGAGTCAGGAAGGATGAGGTGATGGCCCAGTTGCAAGAGTTGGCCCTCTGTCTGAGGAGAAGCTAGTATTTCTGAACCACCTAATTTTCTTAATATTTCTTACTTGTCACTTAGCCATCTACTGAGTTACCTGGTTTTTATAAGACTTTGAGACTATGGCTTGCAAAGGGCACAGATTTGCCTCATCAGTTAAATAAATGATTTCTCTACCTCCTTGCTTTGCTGCTCTGTGTGTGCATCAGATTATTATGGTTTAATAAAAAAAAATGCTTAAGGACTCTCAAACAGGAGGGCACCATGAACACATGCATCTAAACTTGTTTTCATTAACCCTCATTAAAATGACCAGCACAACATAGAGATGACAGCAGGAGCTATTGGCATACCAGAAATGACAGGGAATTCTAGCAGATGAGACAAGACTGAAGAAAGGCACCATGTGCCCAACAGCATCTCTCTCTTCCAGGGAAACATTGGTTTGTGAGAAGCAGGGCTCTGGTATCCCTACTCAAAAGGGCTAGGTCATGGGGACCTGGGCTCAACATAGATGGAAAGGTTTCAAATTGGACACTGCTGTTGTAGAGGCTCAGCACTACTTCAAAAAATCATGTTCACAGTTTATCCACGATGATACACCTTGCATCTGGGCAAAGGTCAGAGCAAAGAGAAAGATGTACCAGAGGGTGGAGTCCCCATCCAGACAGAAGTAAATGATGCAGAGACAGCAATGGGGGTCCATCCCTGAGACCTCTCAGACTAGTGGGTCTCTCCATTCATATGCTAGCCCACCTTACTCAGAAGACAGGAAAGAAGCCCAAGTCTAGGAAAGACTGAAATAAGCAAGGAGGACACAGCAGCCTAAACTACAAAAGACACTGCAGGAAGCAAAAATAAATTGTCAAGAGCATCTCCTTGCACTCTGAACATATGTGGTTTGAGAAGATGAACAGAAAATAGTGAGAAAAAAAAAAAAGGACCTGGCCAAGAAAAACCATAGTGCTGGATGAGGTAAGGGAAAATAATAATACAACAAAATTAGTATCTATATTAAAAACAACATTGGTTCTACATAAACATGACAAGTTCTTCCAGAAGGTAGAAGAAAGCAAGACTGAAAGAGTAGTGACCAAGGAGGACAGTGAGCTAAGTGCACACTGCACTCACAGAAGGTCAGTGTTCTTGAGAAAGATCCTCGGCAAGCGCCACAGTGAACGGACCTGTGGAGCAAGGGTGCCTTTGGACTAAGCAGCAGCAAAACTAAAACCAAAGGACCAATACTGGCATTTATGTTGGTAAGTGACCGGGGCACAGAGAGACTGCAAGGACACTGTCTGCTTCCTGTCCGCTGCGCTAGGAGCAGTTTCTGCTCCATCATGTCCTTTTGCCGTGATGCTCTGCCTTACCACAGGCCCAGAAACATGTAACTAGCCTACCACACTGAAACTTCTGAAACTGAGAGCCTTTCCCCACCCCCAATTCCAATAAGCATCAAAACAAGAATGCAAAGAGCAACACACGTAGAGATGCAGAGCCGGCTCTGGCTGGCCTCAGACTTCTCCATCAAACACGATGGAGCAGCTGGTCTCACACACCTCCACCCATGATTACACTGCACAGAAGTACTGTGGTCATGGGGGGATCTGAGTAGGAGCTATGTGTTAACCTGTTAGATGGTGCTGGTGTTGATTTCCTGATTTTATACTATATCCTGCAAAATAACCTCTGGCCTGCCCTCCCAATTTCTTAGGAGCCTGAAAATATTTTTTGAAAAATAGATGGAAGGTCTACTAGAGAGATGTGAAAGATAACGAAGAATTTCATGCCCCAGCCACTTTTCCACAGGTGAACTCGTAGGTGAATGTAACAGAATCATGTTTAATGATGTCATGGGATCCCCAAAAAACCAAAACAAGAAAAATGTAAAAGTTTAAATAGACATTAGTACTCCAAAAAGTCTACTGATGATATTAAATATCATTACACTTAGATAATTGTCATGACCACTATTATAAAACCAGAGCAAATATCTCAAGATATAAAACAGACAAAACCCAAACCCCTAGAAACAGGGTTAGAAAGTGAAAACTGTAAATAGGCTGTTTTACTTTTTTATGTTGATACCTAGAATGTATTGTTTAAAAAACAAAAACAAACAAACAAAAAAAACTTCACAGAATACAAAACAGAACTGATCATTTTCATATCCCTTGCAGAAAAAAAGAAAACAAAATCCCAAATATAAGAAACTACAAACTACACCCTTTTAATCCCAGCACTCAGGCAGCAGAGGCAGACAGATCTCTGTGAGATGGAGTCCAGCCTGGTCTACATAGTTCCAGGTCAGCTGGTGCTACAGTGAGTCCCTGCCTCAAAATCTCAAAACACATATACACACACACCACAGAGAAGCCATGAGAAAAAAAAAGCCTAAAGCTATGTTTTAAAAGTCTAATCAGAAAATAGGTGCAGGCGAGGGGCTACAGCTCTATCGTGGAGTGCTTTACTAGCATCTCAAGGCCCTGAGTTTGAAAGAGAACGAGAGTGAGAGCAAAAGTGAATATGAAAATCAATACAAATAACCTTTCAGCTCCTCTCCTCTGGGACTACAAGTGTACCACCAAACCTGGTTAACCCTACAATTTTTAAGTTACGTAAGGTGGGTGCTCCCATTACCATGAGAGAGGGTAAAGAGTCTATCTTTGCCCTCAAGGAATCTACCATCACCCTGAAGGCCCTCTGTGGTGGCCTGCGTTCCACTCTCAACCAACAGCTCCCCACTGCTTTCTCAGGACGATGTGACTCAGGGCCAGGATGCTTCATGCCTCTGCCCCATGAAATGCTGGAGCTCTTGCAAGCTAGGGTAGAAAAGGCATTGCAATCGGGCATGATTTAGCCTGTGCCTTTATCTGGAGGCTAAAAAAACAAAAGACAAGGCCTCTTCAACTGTGTGCCTTTTGTCCTTTCAGTCATTTAAGAGATTGCCACGGAGGAAGGAACTGGAATTTGAGTTTCTCCCAGTGCTTCTCACAAGCAGTAAAGCGGGGAAAGCAGTAGAACCTATTTAGTGTGTAGAGTGAGCAGGGTGCTGAGTGGGGTCACGGCAGGGAAGGGGCCCTCACAGCAAGACAAACGGCAATCCATCCCACCCGCAGACCACTCCTCAGTGTCTGAGGCATGAGCCTCTGAAGGTCTCCATTCACAGCTGGCATGACCCCCAGGTGGTCCTCTGGGAACTCTCCTGGGCCTGGGATTCTCCACTGGCTTTGTGTACAATAAGAAGAGCCACATATCAAAGTTGTATGTGGCAAAATCACTGATTTTGAACTCAGAATAAAATGTAAATTAACAGTCAGTCAGCGCCTACTCCCCAAGGGACTGGTGGGTTAATATTTAATCACTTTCATGTGGATTCCAATAATCCTTTTAAACTATTGCTGAGAGCCAGAAATCCTTGTGCAAAGGTTTCACCACACACAGCATAGCCCATTATTAAGAAGCTAACTCTCTTAACTTAATCTCACAGAAAATTACTTGTTTGCAGACAAATTACCCACTCAGGACTGTTCTGTTTGTGGAGTGCTAATCTTCCCTTCTTTGACCCACTCCTCCTTTTCCCTATCCTAACCCAAAGAGGAGGACAGTCTACCAAGCAATGGGGCCTTCTCTGAACAGAGCCCCCAGGAAGAAGGGCTGACTTACCCTGTCCCAGCTGAAGCAGAGGCCGAGGCGATCAAGCTGTTTCCTCATGTGCTTAATATTGCTGTGAAACAAAGGGAAGGACAGTTGACTTTGAGGGGGTCAGGGCCACAGGCAAATTACACTTTAAGAATCCTCAGGGAAACTGAAAAATCTAGATCAATCAAGGAAACTTCCAGTGTTGCTTTGCCTTGGCAGAAAAACCAAGAATCAGTGAAACAGCAGTACGCTGGCAGATACCAGGGTCTGGACATGCTTAGTCGCTGGAAGCCACCTTGTCTTGGCCTAGGGGGCCACTTCTTTCCCCTGGCCACTAACAGGTGACCCATTTGAATGTGTGCTCTTGGCCTCTCCAAGTCTGTGTTCTACACGGAGTTCAGCCAAAAGTATAAGTTTTAAAGTAACTGAAAACAAAAATGTCTAGGCTAAGGCTAGGGTAGATCTCCTCGCTCCTGCCAAGGGGCGGGGGGGGGGGG